TGCGCTGGCGGAGTCTGGGAGTGTGCCGTGAGCATCACCTACCGCACTGAAAGCAGCACTTGGCGCGCAAAATGCAGCGCCCCCCTGAGTTGCATCTCCACTGTTGGTGTCTAAACCCACTTCGTTCATTGAGAGACGGGGGCATGACAATTCGTCGTGGGAACCACCGCAAACCCTACACTGGCCAGTGGGTTCGGGTTCATCGGCATCATCATCCTCGTTCTCGGAACTTGATGAGGACTCTGAGCTCGCGTCTGATGCAGCCTTAGGGGTGGTGTCGACCATTCCCGCACTAAAACTTAGGGGGATTATGGGAACCGGGTATGCCTTAGCAGCTGCCCTTGCGGCAGTTGGGGCAGGGCAGGGAGCTGAAGCCATTGGAGGAGGAGCCACGCTTTGTGCCGCGACCAAAGTGCTAAGCTGATGCACCATTGAGGCTAGGGAAGCAATTTGCTGCTTAACATCTGCTATCTCACTTTTCTCATCCTGACTACTGCTCTGCGCGCCAACGGCTGCGCCTTTGGCGGACACAGCACTGTTGCTTGCGGCACCTGCACCTACATCGAATGCGCCAGTAGGGGCTGCGCCCTTTGCGGACGTGGCACTTCCTTTGGCGATCGCTGCTTCGGCACATTGCTCTGAATCGGTAGGGGCAGAACCCTTTGCGAGTCCCGCACTTCCTGCGATGTCCTGTGTTGGGCCGGTAGGGGCGAGGCTCTTTGCGAGTCCCACACTTCCTGCGGCAACATCACGTGGGGTTGCAACATCCTGGAATGTGACATGCAGGTTGGCAGAGGAAGCACCGGGCTGGGCGCCTGAGTCAACACCAGTTGTATGATGGGGACCCACTTGAGGTGCAGCACTATCTAAACCCTGTTGTGAGGATCTATCAAGTCCACTCTGCTGGTTTGCTTGGTCTTGCAATCCACTGGATGAAGCCCCCGTTTGGTTACCCATTGACACATCCTGTCCACCCAAAATGGGGGAGCTCCGGTTATGCGACCCTTTGGGTTGAGGGGTATTAGAATCCGTACCATTATCGGTTTGTGCTTGCGGGGCACTTTGCGGCGAGCGAGTCGGAGGCTGACGGACTTCAAGCAAAAGGGAAACCGTCCTTTCAAGTTGGGCTAACCTAGACGCTTGTTGCAAATCCTTCTCTTGCAGAGCTAGAATGGTGGCATCACGTTCGGCTACGGCACGTTGTGCTTCTTGATAAAGGTATTGGGTCTGAGCTTGGGCCTGGGCCTGTTCAGCATTAGCTCTGTTGCGAACTTCTGCTGCATACCTTTCAGCTAATGCCCTAGTCTGACCTACCTCTTCATGGGCCTCGGAAACGACTGTTTGCGCCTGAAGCCTAAGCACCTCGGCCTGTTGCCTGGTTGCCTCCTCTTGCTCCGCAGCGCCAATGGCTTGCTGCCTCGCATTTAGCTCGTGCTCACGTGCATAATTCACGGCCTGTTGAGCTTGGGTTACAAGGTTCATTGCCTGATGCCTAAACAACCCTTCCCTTTGTTGGGCGGCTTCCCGGAGTTCCCCCGCCTCCCTTCGGGCCTGCTCAGCCAGCAGTTGCTGTTGCTGTGCATGTTCAGCGGCCTGAAGCGCGACATCGGAAGCATGGTGGGCACGTTGAACGGCGGCACCCGCAACAAATGCAGCAGCTGGGAGGTTCTGGGTTGGATCGGGCGTTCCAGCCGGCTCTGATGAGGATGGTTCTGAAACGAACATGCGCCTAACAGGGGTTGCATCGGAATCTGGTGCAGGGCTATTAGGGTTATGCCTAACAACAGACATGGCTGGCACCATTGCACCCGCAAGGTCTGGGTCATCATAGTCTGTGCCATGTGAGGATCTAGACCTATCTTCGGATGGTGGTGTGATGCCAGAGGGATTCATGCCTGAGACGCACGGATGCGATAGCTTTTCCTGCACACGCGAACCAAGTCAGTGCGCCAAAGGCAGCACTCTCCAAGGCCGGTGATTTGTGCCTGGTGGGATTATGAGATGTGCACTTACGGCTACACTCAAAACAGATTATTGAATGATGCAGCAACACACTCAGTCACACAAGGATTGATATACCTCACTAATTGATAATGGGGAATCTCCTTTGAACCTAAACTTTTGTTTGCAATTTGGATGCAAATGTGAAGGCTCACCAATGCAGTTATGTGCAATTGGAAATGTGTGACTTCGTGCGTCTTTGCGCCACAGTTCTTCGGGGCGCCAACGGCTGCCCCCTGCACAGGTTGGGAAAATATCCTAGGTGCGCCAACGGCTGCACCCCTGTCGTGAGCACCAGGTGATTTGCTACCTGCGAACCTCCTCAAGGAGCTCTGCGGTAGTAAGTGCACGGGCAGGCTGAATGGTCGCTCGGTCGGTTTGATCCAACCACTGCTCAATAGCAATCAACGCGTCCAGAGTCCCTTGCACCCCCTGGCTGGGGTACGCCCGGAAGGCGTGCGCGCCTGTAAGTCGCGCCTCACGACAGATTGTGGCGTTGTCGTCCACGAGGATGTGTGTTGCCCAGCCGTGCAACAGGTTTGCTTTGCCAGCAACGCCAACCCTGGAGCGCGTGAACTGCGTTGTACCAACGTAGATGCCCCTGTAAGCCAAGTGTACCCTTGCTGTGGCGATCTCCGGTGCCGTAGTTCGTTCGCGCTCCACCCCACAATAGCTGCAAATAATCCAATTGAACGGACCGTGAGCTGTCTGTAGACGAACCAATCCGTCCACGATCTGTGGGTGAAGCCTTCCCCCAGAGCGGATGTTCACCCCGTGCCAGTCCAGGACGATGTTGAGCGTCTTCCGGTCCGCAAGGGTTGTCCGAGGTGGGGGATCTGGGATCCCGTGGCTTTCTCGCCTTGGTGGAGGAGGCTTCGGTGGCTCTCGCTTTGGCGGGTGTCGCCAAGGTGGGTCTGGAGCGCCAAAGGCTGCTCCCTGCCCTTTTGGTGGCAACCTCAACGATGCCGGCGGCTGCTTGTACCTGATGTGTGGGCCAGGCCGGCTGTTTGCAGGGACAGAAGCCTTTCTGGCTGGCGGTGCCGCTAAGCGTGGGGGCGAAGAAGATCTTGCTTTGCTCAAAACACGCCCGCGACTGCTTGCCAAAAATGCTGCAACTGTTCCCCGCGCCGCTGGCCGCGGTCCGCACTTTACTGTGGCTTTCGTAGCAGGGGCCGAAGGTGAGGCCGGCACTGTAGGTCTATGAAACGGTGCTTCGTATACCCCACCCGCCCGGAATGCTGCTCTGCCTGAAAGCAAATCTTCTGTGTTGTGCACCGTGTCCCCGTCGGAGTAGTCTTCCAGGTGGTAGACCTCCGCGTTCCCGTAGTTTGGGGTCGAGGAACTAGACCTTTCCCCGTAGGTCTCGGGGCGGAGCCACACGTCCGTTGGCAGTTCGTGAGGATCACTGAACTGCGGTAGACGTGAGCGGGCTCGGCCTGCAAATGCCCGTGGAGCGCCGGAGGGCTGCTCCCTCTGCAGTGTCCACGTGCCGGTCCGGTCGATGCGGACCGTCGGATAGGCCGAGCTCCTTGGCGCCAGCACGATCGGCCTGTCGGTTGGCGAGGTCCTTGATGGCACACTCCTCGATCTGCCACGCGAGGATCGACTGGTCGTCGGGCGAGGAGTTCTGCGGGTTCCCGAAGGCTCCCGACTGCTCGACTCGCCTGCCGCGCCGAGGGCTGCGGCCTCCTGGATCGGTGTCGGAGTTCTTGACCGAGAGCGAGACCTAAGCACGATGGGTACTTGGGAATAAACTGCTCGCAGAACTTGCCTTGACACTGACCGTGGGGAGGTCGTAGATGTCCTTCTCCTCGGAGCTGTACCAGTCACCGCGCCTTGGGCTGCGGTCCTCGCTGTAGGCAAAGCCGGAGCAGACAACCAAGCCTCAGCAGGTGAAGCCTGCTGGGCCACGGAAGGCTGCGCCGCCTGCTGCTGATGCGGTGGTGTAGAGGGAGTCGGAGATGAGGGAGTGGCAGGCACTGGATTTGTACCTGCCGCGCCAGTGGCTGCGGCCCTCCGTTCTTCTTCACGGATTGCCCGGATGCGAAGGGCCGTAGGCTGATGCCACCTGTGAAGCTCCTCCCAGCGCTGCTCGGTGACGTCCCGGTTCCAGGCCCGAAGGGCAGCAAGCTGCACCTCTGATCCCTGTTCCCACTGCAACTTGGGTGGTGTAAACCCAAAACGCTGCTGGACCTCGTCGATCACGTCCTCCTGGAGCTCCCACCACACTCGCTTCTTGTTTGCGGCTCCTCCACGGGTACCACGTTTGTGGTACTCTTCCTCGACGGCCATGCGCGCCCCCTTATGGGGGAACCGCTGAGGGAGGGCCTAGTTAATCCCGAAAGAAAGGCTATACGGCTGATAACCAATCAAAAGAGCAAGAAACCCCAAACGCGCGCCGAAGGCTGCGCCCTGAACAAAAAGAGGTGGATTGACCGTGGTTAATCCCTCAGCGGTTCAGGGGGTTGTCTCTAAACTCTAGTTCCGCACTCCGCGCCCTTTTTCAGTGAGCGCTTGAGCCAAACGGCGTTTGCCGTTTGACAAGTCTGTCATGTCATGCAACCCTCAACCTAAACCAAAGTGGCCTCATGCAAACCTCACGCCAGTGAACACACAACTAGGCAAGTTACCATGCCTTTGGGGGCAAACGGGTCGTTATTTCTTGACTACAAAAGAACATATTGATTTCAGCGCATAGAGTGGGCGACTTCCCCTCTTGAGCCTCCAACTTTCGAGCACCCGCCGCCAGTCCAGGTGCGCGGGCTCCCCCTTCGAACCAGTAGAACCAGTCCTGTCCTTGAGTATAGGGTGTTGGTCAAGTGGAAGCCTGAACCCAGTGATCTGTCATTTACCCAGTTCGAAGAGATGGTCTTCCCTCACTCCAATGTCGACAAGTCAAAGGCTCAGTTGCCCAAAGGACCAAAGGACCTGGAAATCAAAGGGTAACTTTTTGGGGCCTTGACTACGGACCAAGGGGTTGCCAAAACCGGCGCATCCGCCTCGCGAGTCTCGGGGGTAACCATGGCCACAGTTCAAGCTATTGAGCCTGATGTGACTCGCGGAGCGGAGCGGGCGCTGTCACTGGTTTGCTCAGAAAACGAACGTGGAACCCGAATTGGGGGGTCCATTTCCCAGGAATTTCCCGGATGTTTTTGAATGGGTTCCATAGTCAGGCGAGTATTTTCTTTAGCACTTCGAAGAATGCTTTGAATGGATGGTACACGAGTACGTGGACGTCCACAGTTGGGGCTTGGGAAGTTGTCCAGGGCCGGTCTTTTGAGGCGAAGGTTACTTTGCTCTTTGGGCACAGGGAAACCAAAGGGAAACCCACAAATTTGGTGGTCTCCTAAAACAAACACGCGGCGGAAACACAAAACGACACATCGGGTGCAATCCCGGGAACAACGCATCCCAATTATTTGTCTGTGATGACTCCTTCTCACTCAAGGGGTGTTATTGAAATCGGAGATATCCGATGAAGCAATGAAGCTGGTATGTCATATGATTCTTTATCACATCTCCTGTCGCCGCATGGAACTCTCCAGAGAGTCCCTTTCTTCGGAACATCATCCAAAACCAGGGCCCGCAAAAAGTCGTCAGGTTCCATGGCAACGACAGCAACCTTGGCAGCCCCTTCAACCCCAACCGACCCTCAAATGCCTCAAATGAGGTCCAAGGGGCTCCTAGGGAAAGGCCACTCTCCAATCTCCTCGAGGCCTACATGCCGATGTTGCTCTGCGAGGCCGACAAAGGCATGGTAAATATGATACACATGGATCGTCTGAGTGTGCTAAGCCAAGTCTAAAGTCCGCAAACTCGGGAGGCGAGGACCCCTCTCAGCAGAAAGGCAACTGTCCCCTCCAAAAGTTGCCTTGCCCACATCCATGTTAGTTGCTGGAGAGAATGTGACTGAGCCAAAGCCTTCGGCCTCAATCACTCGGCGCTTGGGTTCCTTTTCCGATTTCTGTTTCAGAGTCTCGATCTGATGGAGACGCCATGGGTGAAACCGCGTACGTTCGGCCGCATGCCCCCTCTGCCAAAGAAATGCATGATCAATTGTCCACGGTTGATTGCCTGAGACGTGCTTGGCTGACTTGGTTTTCGTTGAAAGAACACCCCAACGGAGTCATGAACAGGTGCCGTTGGCAACGCGCATGAGCTGTTGGCAAACGCAGTGTGCATTTGGACAGAAAAACCACGGAGCACATCGCAGCCAGCGCAGTTTTGGTTACAGTGCCAGCATGAAACACGAAGCAAATTCAGGTGCCATGCCAGGCGCAAAAGGCTCGGCTTTGCTGAGACCCATCTGGCTCGGTGCATTTGCAGTGCTCGGAGCTTCTTTCGGTCAATTGAAGGCGTTACCGATCTTTCACTCACTTCCTAAGTGGACGGGCCAAAAAGAGTTGAACTTTATACTTACCACCAAAATGGTGTTCCCAAAAAGTATGAAGTCAAGCAAATAGAAAAATGAGTTCAATAGTGTTCAACGCACTTCCTGATAGGAATGCCCAAAGTCGCAAAACATCTTGGAGTTCCACCTGGGCAGGGTCCAAGCAAAAGAACAGTAGATCACAAAGACTGAACAACAAAAGCTAAAAAACACCTCCAGGGGCGAGGGGGTGGCTTCGGGTGGCTCCTTGGGGCTGCATGGGGATGCGGCGATCTGAGATGCAAGCTTTGCATTTACCAGTAAGACCTTGGAGCATTCATAATACAAATGCTCAAGAGAACAGCGCAATGTATATGCATGTATTCACATGTATATATATATATATATATATTGTTTAGGAATATATCAATTCACATTTACATATTACACGTATAATATGTAGATCTAAACATGCATGTACATTCAGATTCAAAACTACTGTGGATGAACGACATCCTGCACCACCTAAGAAACCCTGGAATGATGGTTCCCCGGTAAATATCAACAAACAATGGATTCCCGTGGTTTCAAAGTGGTGCAGGATTTTGTCCATCCACTGTATGGCTTTCGTATCACCCAAACAATTCGACCAGAAATTCCAAGCCACGACCGCTGCGCGGCTGAGAACAAACTCCGTCTCATCGAGGCGGGGCCTGACCCACAGGTTCCCCCGCTGCCAGTGGTTCATCAACGCTACGCCCCGGAAAAGTGGTCGTGGGCATATAAATGTCCACCTAGGTCCTTCAGTAGAGAGGTTAGAAAGAAGGGTACCACTTTTTTCTGTAGTCCATTTTAGTAGGGGAACCCTCCCCCGCAAAAAAGGGTGAGAAAGGGCACTACTGGGGGACTTAGCTACCGAAATGTCCACCAAAGCGACCTCCATTATAGGGGAGCTGCCCTAACCCTCGGAACTACACATCAAACATAGGAGGAACATGGAGGGTTCCTCTGATTGCCATTCTATGTTCTTTGTCGGTACTTCGTCCAGATGCAGATAATGTTTGTTGTTCAAAGCTATCATAGGTTGCCCTGTAAAGGAGACCAGAGTGGGTTGATGTACCACGTTTTGCCCCACCCGCTGTTGGTCGGTTGGTAACCAAGGAGCAATTTCCTGCGAGTCGGTTGGTAACAAAAAAAAAAAGGCATAATCAAAGGGTATCCACTTCACTCATAGAAGCCAGGCAATAAACAACCTTTTGGCACACCCATTATGGCTGACTGCCCCACAGCCTCGGATTTTCCCACCTTGGCATCTGCGCAAACAGCTGCGCTTTTCAGGCACCCACGAAGAATGAAGAGAACCGAACAGCCAAAAGACAAGCAACCAAAAACCTGCCAATAATCGAGAAGATTGAGTGTGGCGCGCCTGTTGACACATGTTGACATTGCTGTTTCAGACATCAACTGTTTTAGGCTTCAAGTGTTCCAAAAAGTGGTCAGCCCTGGCAAATGAGTCTCCAGTGGAACTTGTGAACCCTTTGTGATGTTCATCTCAACTAGGCTTTTCAGGAACAACTGGGAAAACAATGACTCCGGCCAACCCCTCCCCGCGTAGAAGGGACACCCAAAAGGTGACCGTGAGCAGGGTGAAACGGGGGTGAAGAATGCTACATATACAAGTATTATATGTATGTATATGTATCTTTCTCCGTCTGTTTATCTTGTTCTTTATCCTTATCATGTTTGTCTTGTCTCTTTATCTTTGCCTTTACATTTTCCTCTTTGTATGTATGTCCCTGTTTCTCTTTCTATCTCCGTCTCTTGCTCTTTCACCTTGTCTTGATTATTCTCTGCGGCTCTTGTTATTTCTCTTTAGCTTTAATTTCATCTTTGTCTTTCTCTGTTCCGCTTTCTTTATCTGATTCGCTCTGTGCGTGTCTCTCTCCCTCGCTCTCTTTCTCTCTTTCTCTCTCTCTCTCTCTCTCTCTCTCTCTCTCCCTCCCTCTCTTTCTCTTCACCTTTTCCTTTGATTTGCCTTTGTCAATGGTCTGTCTCTTTATCTCTATCTTTCCCTATTCTTCATTCTCCTCATTGTTGTAACTTACCACATTCATACGATTTAGCTTTATCTCTCTGCCTCTATTTTCTCTCTAAACCGCCACACCTTGTGTTGCTGTTGTTGTTGATGCTGCTGCTCCTGCTCCTGCTGCTGCTGCTGCTGTTGCTGTTGCTGTTGCTGTTGTTGTTGTTGTGGTAAACAAAAAAGACGCCACCATGAGGATTGGAGCTTCAGTTCCCAGAACGTTTGCCATGTGCCAATGAGCCTCATGGCCTCAAGCGCCAGCACTGGATATGACGGCAATTTTTGTGGGTTGTCCTCGGATCCACCCGCCAAAAGTGACCAACTTTTAGTGGGTGAAATGGAAACTGAGCCACTAAGCCCTAAAAAGCTGAAAGACTAAGGGATTGGGGTCTCTCTCGTGAGCCAGCGAGCCATTTCTGGGGTCTCTCTCGTGAGCCAAACCCATTGCGGGCGCACCATTCCAGACTTGACGAATCTCGGGCGACCAGAGTCGGCGTATGACCTTGGACGGGTCGGCTCGGAAAACTTTGGCAGCGACAAGTGCGGGGGGGTCATTTGGGCGGTTTTGTTTGAAGCCGCCTCTTTTTTGGACTTTAAGAAACACTAAAAGGACCACTGTCATCTTGGAGGTCCAACCTTTTAAACAACACAACCATTTGTTTTGAGCAAGACCTTAAGACCACCCTTTCTAAAGAGAACCTTCCTCGTGCTACCTGAGAACGTTAATTTTGATCAAGGGAGGACAAGCAAAGCCAAGAATTTGTGTTCACATTCTTGACGACCAGAAGGGGTCTGCTCAAAGCAGAAGGAACCCGCTTTGTCTTCACGAAGGCCAAGTGGGAACATGTGTGCCAAAACTCGGTCCTCCAGTAGAGAGGTTAGAATAAGGGTACCGTTTCTTTTCTCTGTGGTCTATTTTAGTAGGGGAATCTTCCCAACAAAAGCAGGGGTGAGAAAGGGCTACTGGGGGACCTAGAAAACAAACAAAAACAAAAGGGCCCCCCCAAAAAGCACATGTTTGTTTGGGTTTCATATTGATCCGTAGGGGAGTACGGCCATGGTAGGGCTGCCTTGCTTCATCCCCTGGAAATCATGAGGGCCACCCTGCTACAGTCATGACTATACATGAGCCAAAACAAGGTGAAGCTGAAAAGTAGAAAGGGCAACTGAGGTACGTGTTTTCCATTTGGCCCCGCGAAAACTCGGGAATTGTATAAAAGAGAGCTCCAAATGCATGTGGACCCCCCCATACACATGAATTGGCTGGGGGTGTTGGCTAGCTTCCTTTGTACAATAATCCGAAAGTCGGCTGGGAAAAGAAGGCGCCTTTGTCGGAGTTGGATCCATTTGTCAACCCTCTGCAAAAAGAAATGGTACTTACGATGGAAAACCAAGCATTTCAACAAATAACAACAAAACAAAGCGGGAAGTCTCAGTTGCCCAAAAGGGCCTGGTCGGTTTTTGGGCCATGACTAAAAGTGGACCAACATTGGAAAACCAGAAGGTCATTTCAGGTCCATTCTCTTTGGACCAAAGAGAATTTGGAAAAGGAGGTAGCTTCATTTCTGTCCAAAACCCCCGAAGCCCCGAACGAGCAAAGGGTCGATGTGCTTTCAAACGATTTAGGGCTTTGTCAAAATTGGGTCCCTCAACATGGGTGGTGTCCCTTTTACCACAAAAATACAAGGGCACACCAAAAAGAGACTGAGCCCTTGGCTGCACTGCCCGGCCCACGCTAGTGCCGAAGTTGGGCACGCCGTGCTTGCGGCCGACCTCCTAAAAAGTTGCCCAGGTGCCGTCGAGTGGATGGCCCCAAAAACGAACCAAACTTCTGGTTTACCACTAAAATGGCTCAGCCCCAAAAAGTGACTAAAGTCCGTGAACTCAAAAAATGAGTAGTGGCTGAAATGGGTATTGTTGTTTGTTTGCGGCGCCATACCCCTTCAGGTGTGTTTAAAGGGAACGCCAACGGACACCACCCATTTTTAAGGGCTCCCCTATTTTTACACATTGAGCTCCCATATTTTTACACATGAGCTATCTCCAAATGGTCCAAACATCTTGCTGGTGCGAAGCAGGGAATAAGGGAATGACCTATAAACATTTTGTGTGGTTTCCTTTCATTAAGGGGGAACCCTGGGTTCATTCCCACATTCCCTGCTGAGCACCAGCAAGAAATGGAATATCTCTGGAGGCTTCGTTTTCAAGGGTCGCCTTTGCTTTACAGGGCTTCATCCCTATTCCACCCGAATACATGTCCTTGAGGCGGAGTAGTTTGGGGATCTCTCACATACCTATTAAAAATTATTACGAATTCAGGCGGCCGTAGCCCAGGAAACGACCTGCAACAAAGGAAGCTGGCGAAGGGCCGCTCAGCAGTGGTGTGGGCATTCGGGGTTGCCAAATCCAAAGAAAACGGAGTGGAACTGCCACATTCACGAATCCTACCTCTTCAGTAGGCACGTCTGTCTCATGCCGGGGACCTATTCTGACTGCGATGGTTTTGACTCCTGCATTTACTCCAAAAGGTCTTCAAACAAGTCCGCTGGATCTAGAGCTCGACAAATTGCTCAAGTGCCATCCAGCGAAAAAGGCAAACAACCAGCTGACTAGCAATATTCCTCATGTTTTTCAGACTGACCCTTCTATTTAGAAAACCGCCAAAGGGACAAATGTGTTTTTTTGAGCAGAACGATTGAAAAGGCGCAGTTTGCTCAGACTCTCGTTTCACCCCAGTCCGCGTGGTCGATCTGCGGCAATTGATGTGGTCTAAAAGCCTGGCCGGCAATTGAGTCAGAATCAAAACCTGGCACAAACATGGTGAACCCAGAACCATGTAAGGAATTGAAAAGGCGGCCGCGACGAATTCCGGCTGGGACTGCCCCTTACTAGCCTTCATCTAAATCTACCCAGGCAGATGAAAGTGACTCAATTGATGTGCGTGAGGCAAAACTCATGTTGAACAACCCGCACGGAGTACCGGATATTCCCCTCAAGCCACGTCACCTAATCCTGGGAACTCGGCGATCCAAAGAGGTCTTGCTATTCTCAGCACCGACCCTCAATCTATGAAGCCAATGAGGCAAACCAATGAAACCCTCAAACTCGGAAATCCAGGCTAGGTACGCTGAGCTAGCAAGTTCTTGGCAGCTTATGGTGCGCTAACCTGGTTGGTGGGTTGTAGCTCGAGTAGCTAAACCACATACTAATTTGGCCGAACATCCAAGTACCTTGCGGAGAAAGGTTCAAACCAGGAACCCCCAGCGAAAGTTCTAGAGCCTATTCCATACAAGCGATCAGCACGCCAACCGCAAACTGCAACGCTAGTCGGTTCCTGTGATTCGTTTGAGAGGTGCCCTTGTTGAGGTTGTGTTGACAGGCGAAACGTCACATCACTCGCTTTGGAGCATCCAAATCACATTTCAGCAGCGCTTCTACCAAAGGCCACAAAGGTATATGCTTGGAGGCCATTTGTCAATGGAACTCTTCAGGAGTCGCGCCTCTTGGGTCTTTGTGATGCCCATGCCGCTTTGCCTAAGCTTGCGGAGGAGTCCAATTGTCACAATGCAAGGATCATCGAGGGTTGGGCCAACCCCCTGCTTAACTTAACCATGTTCAAAACGCGTTGACCAGACTTGAACCCCCTGCAAACAAAATGACGTGTTTTTGGTTGCAAGGACAAAATTATGGACGCCCAACAAGGCAAACAGTTGAAAAGGTCAGCTAAGTCTGTTAATGACACGTATTTGTCGTTACCCCTGGTGGCTTAGATTTGGGCTTGAACCCCGTTCCCTGTTGAGGATAGAGGGGAAACCCGGACCTCCAAACTACAATCCCAAACCACCAACTCAAGGGAAGCTGAGTATTGTTTAAACAACCTCCCGCCTGTTATTGTTCCAATAAACCATCGCCTGTTGGTTCAAACACATGTACATAAACTTTCCCGAAGCTTGTCCTCAGTCCTATGTTGGCTGGTTTTCCTTAACTTCCCTCCAAGAACCAGCTGACAAGTAGCCCAAGCTGAGCATCCCACTCGCAGCGTTTGCGATACAGCTGGGGTTTGTGCACAATTATGTCATGGTCCTTCAATCGAAACTCTTGCGATGGTTGTCTAGCAATTCAAATCGATTTCCAGCGCAGCTTGGGCGTTCGGCCGAGTAAGTAACCTGGCTAACTTGGGTTATCATCCAAGTCCCCGTGAGTGGACAAGCGCGGTTGTTACTGGGTTATAGCCAAACACTTACAAACTTGGCCGAACATCCGAGTACCAACCCTCTTTGACACGGTCTTTTGACCATGTGCAGACCTTGACAAGATTGTTTCGGCCCTTTTGCAGTCCCAGGAGCACCTCTCAAAGACATGAGCAAAGGTCAAAATCTTCGGCTATGGGACAATCAGGGCTTGTCCACTGGCATCGGTGGGAAAATATGTGACCCCTGATGTCCCGCCCCCATTGACCATAGACCACAACAGAACTTTCCTGAAAGTGCTCGAATCTCACGCTGCAACCGCACTCAACTCGTAACGGCTCAGGTGCATTGAATACTGGTGTGCTTGTTGACGAAATTGAAGCGCACAGGTGCGGGACATCGCCCGTTGCAGCCAAGCTTCAGCACACATCTAGTCGTTTTTTGGAGCGAACTTGCTAACGTAGTAGAATCCTCCTAGCACTGCTAGTCTGTTTTATACTTCGAGAGTGGATTGGGCAAAAACTGTCGTACAACTTGTTGCTCAGAGTGTCTAGGGCCTAAAGTCCACCTCAAATGGCGGGTCCCGAAGGCCAAAGCCTTTAAAAGACCCTTGCCGTCGAAGCAAGCGCCCAGCAACGCAGACGTACTCCATAGTGTGGAGGGACGAGATCCGCTGGCACCACATTGAAACAATGGGAAAACGATTGTTGATTGGTATTTACAGCATAGGGGACCCGACATGGTAAAACATCAGAATTCGGTGGAAATTCGACTGTCCATCCACTTGGGAGCTGGTTCCGCAGGGAATTCCTAGCCATGTTAATCATCCCCTTCGACCATTTTGTTTGAAATAAAGAAAGAGGTGGCTCTCACCTGGTTCCTTGCCTATGGTGTTGTTATGCTAGGTCCCCCAGTAGAGAGGTTAGAATAAGGGTACCCGATTTGTTTCTGTAGTCTATTTTAGTAGAGGCCCAAAACAATTCCCCAAAAAAAAAGAAAAACGGTAAAAGAAACGGCACCTAGCTGCGGGACTTTCCCTCTTTCCAACACTCATGGAAGTGGACAAAGGGGTTGAAAAGGAAAAGAGTCTTCCAAAACCCTCCTGTCAGCTTCCATGATTGTTGGAGGGAGGGTATGCGGACCAAAAGCCCGGAGACTGCTGGACGCTCCTCCCCCCGCTCTTCTCGCAAGCGACCAGCTTCGGTTCCCGAGGGCAGCGCAAGGATGGCATAGAGCGAGACTGCCTGGGAGCGGAAAGGGCGCAAGGGGGGGCAACGCTCGTGAAGTGGGGATGCCCAAAACGGAAGACCCGATCCATACCTTTGGCGAAAAGGCATTTGTTTCTGCCGTTTCACGAAAAAAGCGCCGTTTGCCTGAAAAACTGCCGTTTCACAAAATGCTGGTGCAACGGTCGGGAAAAGTTGCCGTTTGGACGGGAAAAGTTGCCGGTTGGACGGGTAAAATTGCCGTTTCGATTCAGTAAGCAACCGCGTGTATTGCTCAACTTGCAAAAGTGTCGCTTCGCACAAAAAGTGCCGTCTCGATGGAAAACATTGTTTTTAACCAAACAGCAGAAAAATGTACCCGCCAGGAAGCCACAGGTATGGCCATGGTTGTCAAAAATAGTAACCCCAAAATGGGGAACCCTGGTAAATGGAAACATGGACATAATATGTACCCAAAATGGGTTGCCCTGTGGAAACATGGACCAAAAGCTGCGGTCCAATTCCTGGTGGTTTAATTTTGACCTATACCCATATCAGGGAGGGACTTCAAGGGACACCACAAACGTAGTAAACCTCAACATGACACCATAGTGCTAAAGGCTACCTCCAAGCCAACCAAGATCTATACTCGTTATATTGTCTTCATATGGCTGTGGCTCAAAAGCCCGTACCCGCAGTCAACATCCCAATCCGCTCTAAAATAGACTAAAATGGGTGGTGCACCTACCCCAAAATGGTACCATTGGTTTTGACCCACAGCCATATGACTTTTGTGAAAAACCCATCACCGGTGCGCAAGCGTCCGCCCTGTCACGTGGTACCTCACGCAGGCCGAGCCCTCACCCGGGCTTCCACGCTGCATGGTTGGGGTTTGCGCAGTAGGATCCACGTGCCTCGAGGCGAAACAAAATTCACAGCCAAACGAAGCAACCCTGCCTGGAGTCTCCATGACCCTTTAAAAATGGGGTTATAACCCCTGAAATGTGGGTAATGACCCCATTGTTTAAGGGTCATGGAGACTCCAAATGCTCTCATCCATAAATGTCCTTTTTGGAAAATAGATGGCAATGGTAGATGATCAAACCAACATCATAACCAGGCCATCAATTTTCTTAACCAAATCAATCAAAAGGACACCTATGCTCTCTTCTACTCTCTTTCCAATCATGGGAGCTGACCAAAGGGTTTTGGAAGACTACAGTCCCTCTGAAAAATGAAGCTCTATGTCCAGTTCCATGGTTGGTGGAAACAGAATTAATGTTGACTGAATCCTACCAAAACTTGAGAATTACTATAAGGGAAAGTTTGCCCTGGTAAAGGGGTCCCTCCTAAATGGACCAACCCCCTTGCTATCGGCCAGGGTTTACACTATCCTGGCTTCCCAGTACAAATAGATGTCTCTCGCAAAGTGTCCGCGCAGTAGCTGGGTATTTGGAGGGGACGAGGGTATGTCTAGCCGTCAGTGAGATAAGTTCACCGTCAGTCCCTTTTGGCCAAACAGTTCTAGGCAGAACAACCAGAAAGCCAGCCTCATACTCCAAAGCCCCGTTTTATCACAGGCATATGTGGAATCGCCTGGCTTTCCATACTTCTTTAGTCAAGGGTAGGCAAATCAAATTGGCCATAAGTTACCAAAGAGGAAGGCTGATATCATAGGTGATTTGGTTGACTAATCTTAACCCCGGATTAATAAACCCCTGGTTTATTAATAGGGGGGTGTCCCCTTTTAGTGGGGATTCATCACTTTTGGAGGGAACACCCCCCTAATAGTGTTTATTAATCCTGGGTCAACATTACCACGGCAAAGCAATACTCCCAAAGAAGAAGGAACTGCAAAGGCCTGGTACATCTGAGGTCCGGACATTGGGTCCATGGGCAGTCCCTGGCGAAGCCGTCGGCAAGACTTTCCCCGCAAAAACTGAGGCCCTGCGCTTCACGGGAAGCGGCATGTTTCGAGCTAGCACCAGTTCCAGCTCCCAAAAGGTGACCCTCGTGTTTTTGTTTTTGTTGAACCTGGAGCTATCTTTACATGATCGTTTCCCCTGGATTGTTTGTTGCTTGTTTGTTTGTTAGTTAGTTTGTTTGTTTGTTTGTTTGTTTAACCTGGAGCTATTAGTCTTTACATGATCGTTTCCTCTGGGTACTACTTTATGATGGTAGCTGGATACACTGCCATTCTCAAACGCTACGGTTGCAGGCGAACCCAGATGTCAGACTCAGCTCATCAAGGTGCCAGCGTAAACCGGTTCCAGATATTCTTGGTTGCTGTTGACCACTCTGCAAAATAATCAAAATATGTTGCGGGTCAGGTGGAACATCCGGCCTGTTTCAACCAACAAGTTGCTGAGTCCAAAGATCAGCTTCCAAATAGCCAAAAAAGTATTTCCCCTTGTGAACATCACCTGGGCCAATTCAAAGCTGAGTCACAGTCAAAAACCGGTACTAAAATGGTCTACCCAGAACCATGTAAGGAGTTGAGAAGGCGGCTGCAGCTATTTATGGTTGGGATTGTCCCTTACCAACCTTCATCTACACCGGTTTTGATTGTGGTTCACCTTTCCTTTTGAGCTCATGTTTGAGGGGCGAATCAAGGCCCCGCATCTTGCGATTTCGGTTCCTGAGAGGCGCGGCTCGTCGTTCGTCGGTCGCCTCTTGCGCCAGCTGCTGCTTGATGCGGTTCTCGGAGGCTTGCTCGATTCGCCTGCGAGTTCTTCATATGTATATATATATATATATATGTGTATACATATACATATATATATATATATATATATCTATACATAGGTGGTACCCCCCCCATGGACCCTGGTTTGGTGCTTATATATATATATATATATATATATGGCATATGGAAACCACATACTGCATCATACCTAGGAGAAAAAAACACCAAAATGTACTTGTATATATGTCTCACGTCCGAAGTGGATTGTCCAAAACAAGTCCAACTGTTTGCTTGCCACTTTGTCTTTCTCAAAAAGTATAAAGTCCAGAAATTCGGGAAGGAGATGCCCTTGATATATAGCGGCTATAGAGTGGCTGTACATCCTGTTTGGGGGGGGTACTGAAAACCATCTCGCTGACGTGGACCCCTGCTCTTGCGGAGCGCCCTATGATCCAAGTGCTGCACATCACTGTCTGTGTGGCCTCCGCTCTTCGATCGAGGGTAGAGGAATTGCACCTTCCTCATCATCCCCCTGAGCACGGCGAAGCAAAGGCAGCATGTGTCAAGCGCCCTGTTGGGTTCATCTAAAATGGGAAACCAGCTTGAATCTAACCCTTCGACGGGCTCCCTAGCTTTGGCACACTTGGGACTCTCGCAAGGAAACTGGAGGGGGGAGACTTGGCCAAGCTCAGAGTTGCAAATTCTGAACTGCTGGATGCAAACAACGACCTACTCCAAAATCCTTCTTCTGGAGCATGATGTCACCCCTCCCCCCCCCAAAAGAAGAACAAACACCGTCCCACCAATTCATACATGGAACCAGACGTTCGGGACCCGGTCCCTTTAAAGGAACATGGTCCGTCTTCCAGGACCCCGGGTTCCCACATTACAAATTGCACCCAAACGCTCGGTCGTCTTGGGCAACATCCAATCTACCCATGTCCGTGACTCTCTGACCAGGACTCCGAGTAGCCCCAAGTCCGGCTCCCTCTTTAAACGAAAAACCTTGGGTAGACCGGGTCCTAGCTCCCTAACCCTTGCTAGTGCTCAGCTGGAAAAAAGGGAATGACCCTCATAAACCATCCAACTTGTGGTTTCCTTTAAGGGGACCGGGTTCATTCCGTGACATTCCCCATATACCTATCGCACCAGCAAGTGCTTAACCCCTCCCCAAGCAGCGACGCGTCGCTCGCTCCTTCGCTCCTGCCTCGTGATAGTGCACGTGGTGATGAATGTGTCGGTGCACGATGCGCTGGCGGAAGGGAAACGAATCGGTCGGAGTCGAATGCGACGAAAGGAACACGGGGTCACGGGGATTCCCTTGGACGGTCTCACTTCCTGAGTGGGCTGGCCGAAAAAAAACTCTCAACTTGTGATTTGCCTGAAATCGTCTTCCTGAAAAGTATGAAGTCCAACAACATCAGGACGTGAGGGGCTGGAAGCTACGGGTAGTTTCCACTAAAACTGAAACACTTTTTGGAGGTTCCAAAAAGGGAAATCGGGCTGCTCCAAGCCCTGTAGGGTTCCTAATGGAAATTCCAAACTTGGTTTTTCCATTCGCAGGCTATCGAACCCAAGTGACGTTCCACATCAGAATTGGGAGCATCAGAATTGGGCTTGCCCCGAGCGCCGCGAAAGGAGAGAGGACGTTGGACCTTTTGTAGATTTAATAGAAAACCATTTAAAAGGTCGAAGAGGCGATTCGGTCACACCAAAGATCGGCTATATTCGGCCACGCTTTGTAATGATAAAACCTCCTACTAATATAGCATCTTGCGCTTCAAGGAATTCCAGGGACGCCCCAATACTCCAAGGTTAACACTAGCATCTCCTGGACCGTCCGAAGATAACCCTCCTTCACCCATCTGATTTCAGCTGGTTCCTCGATCTGATCATTGAATCAGGGTGCGATTCAACCCCTGTTCAGGCCATGCTCGGTTTACACACCCAAACGCCCTCCTAGGATCCCCCTGCCGAGCACAGGCCGTGAGACCAACCACATCCCACGAAACCGACTCTAGTCAGTGTAAAGTGGCCGTGTTTCGGGGAAGCCGACTTGCGAAGTGTTGTTTTCATCCAGTTGGCGTATGATTTTGTCCATCAACCTTGGGAACCCTTGTCATCTTTGTCGAAACCAGTACATCTAAGGATCTATGAGTCTATGACCATCCCTACCAACCCAAAGGGCTGTCTGACCATGGCGCTGACATCTCCCACATCTCCAAGCGGGATAGAGATCATAGGCCACAAGCTCAGAGGGTCCAAACAGCGTTCCAAGCGGAAACCTGGGGCCTTTTAGGTGTATCTAGACCTAGGAAAAGGGTCCATGACCCCTAGACAAAAGGCTCATCACCCCTTTTGGGTAATGACCAACCCATTCTTAGAGGGTCAGAAGGAGACTCTAGGTCATGTTGATCCCGGACCAATCACCCCGCTTTAAGAAATTGGCGGTGTGCGTACACACGTGCATGCCAACCAATTGAGGCAGGAAGGAACCTATGCGGGTTCCAAATAGGTCGTGGTCCGTGAGCTCCTGAACATTTCCCTAAAATCGGCTTCTTCTTCCAAGCATTCTTGGAATTGTTGAAAGGAACAGCCACAGGCAGCCGTCATAGACTGCTGTATCTGCCAGTTTCTGTTTTGAGGCCTGGGTTGGATCCTAAGCTTCGTTTGTTTGATTGCTTGCTTGTTTGATTGCTTGTGTTGTTTGGTTTTCGGCGTGTTTGTTTGTTTGCTTGTTTGTTTGTTTGTTTGTCTGTTTGTCTGTTTGTCTGTCTGTCTGTTTGTTTGTTTGTGATTGCTTGACTTGTCTGTTTACGTGCTTGATGCACTCTTTTGTTCGTTTGTGTGTTCGCTCGCTCGCTCAATGCCCTCGATGCCTGGGCCATACCCTGCGCTGGCTGCGCGGGATAGCTCGGTTGCGCCATCTGCTGCTGGATCATCAGCCTCGGAAAAGGCGCCCATCGGAACGCCCCCGTTTCACCCGAGCTGACTTTTGGTTCAATTTAGTTTTACTAAGATATATGTTGCATATATGGTTTATAGGGTGATAAAGGTATGGTTATATGGTGTGGCGTAAAAACAGATTATCAGATAATAGGTGACACATGATTATATTTGGCGTGGTTGTAACGGTTAGCTAGGTTTAACTAAAAGCCCAAACCAAACATTAAATCGTAGAACACCCATAAAAGTGGCCAACCGGGCTTTGCAGGGGGGGGGGGGGGCATTAGGTGAGAATTGTAGAACCGTGTGTTAGGGTAATATTAGGGGCCAACCAATCTTGCACGCACTGGTCTCTCATGATCTCGAAATATCTGTATAATTTAGCCCCAGGGTCCCCCAGTCCCCCCATAATCTCACTCTTGCTGTGAACAAACGAAATCCTGCACTACCTAAGAAACCCTGGAATGATGAATCCCCTGTAAATACCAATAAACAATGGTTTCAACCATGGTTTCCAACAAACATGGAACTGCACAACCCCTGTTTGGAACACGACGGTTCTTTTCCGACAGGCAGCTCATGTTGGAAGGGTTTGTTGGGAGCCAAGAGGCTCCCAAACACGTTCAGAAGTCGAGAAGTGGAAGTTGGAGACACCTCCCAGATAGAAACCTGCACTTTTGGGGGGCATGGCGATGAAAATTGGTGGTACCGATTGGTTTGTCGGTGAAGGGAACAACCCACAAGGAACAGCACCACTGATAAAAGACAGACCCATATGTTGCAGCCAAGAGCCTTAGAAACAACAGTACCCTAACGAAGGTGGTAGGTTGTCTCCCTTACGAAGGGCCTGCAGATTAACAACACTGAGTTCCTCAACATGTTGTCACGCCCCAACATTCAAATCTAGTGTGGGCCCCTCGGTCATGCAAACAATTTGGAGTACTGACTATTGAGACTTGAATGATCATCCACGAGATGTGAGGATGTCAGTGTTGCTGACCATGTATTCAGTGTGGCTTTAGCATGATACCCAGGGTGGGTATCATGAGTTTGTGTTTCCTGCCAAGCGTTTGGTGAAGGTACAACGACACAGCATCTAGCTGTACAGTATTCAAAGTTGCTTGCATGACATATAACTGTATGTGTGTGTGTGTGTACGTCTATGACATGCATATGTGTAGCACGTAAAATCAGTCGTGCGTGGCAAATTATGACTCTCATTGCTTAATAGTGCTTGGCTGAGCAGCTCTTTGGGCGCCTTGACTCATAATGTTGACCCCATAATCAACCCCAGTTTATTCGTAGGGGGGAGTGTCCCTGGGTTAGTGGGGAATCATCACTTTCAGAGGGGAACATCCCCATATTCAAAAACTGGGGGTGAATTAGTATGGGGTCAACATTATGGTAATCACTGACTATGATTCCAACACGTGAAATAGGGAGCACCAAATAAAAGACCGGCATCATGGTGAGCTCTTGTTTACCCGGTGCACTAATCATAGCTCCACGACACAATCCCGGCGCCAAACCCAAAACCCGCATGTCTTAAACTAGCACCCTCAAACAAAAAAAACAAAAACATATTTCCCATTGGGTTTCCCATTGGGTTTCCCTTAGCCTCAAACCAAATGACCCCAAACTTCCATTTTCTTAAGCCCGGAAACAAATCCAGTAGTGATAGATTCCGGTTAAAACCTACAGAAAAAAAACTACACATATTCTTAAGCAAATGACACCAACATGACCAAAGGAATTCCCCGGAAGCTTCCTTCGGCGGCCCTCACTCGCATCTCGGCCGAGGCGCTGCTGCCGTCGCATCCTCGGGTCCGACTCCTCCGCCTCCAACGGAGCCTGGGAGGCCTCCTGACGGATCGACGCGCACGCGAGCTCGGGGTTCTGCTGTGGGTGCGAAATGCGAAGTCGCACCACGAAAGGAAACCATTTTGTTTGTTTCGGTCTTTTCAGGGAAATTATCAGAACCCAGGGTTTCTGAACGGTGGTGCGAAATGGAGTTCGTCCGTCCACAGTATCATTTCCTGAGTCTCAGAGTGGATGGGCCAAAGCTCAAGAACTCAGGGAGTGAGTTGACCGGTTCCCAATGCAGTGCTTGACTCCCATGGCTTCACCAAGTAGACTTCCTTGTGTCACACGCCTTTTGCTACAAAGTGGGATATCCATGGAATGATGTCCCTTGGTACCAATTTCCACTGGTCCGCGACTGCTTGTCGCGGCCGACTCGGGGCCGTAGACCCAGAAAGTTATTCACATGTTGCCAGAAACACGCCATGATTCCAAGCGGTTCAGAGGTTGTTTGGTCAAATCCAGCGGAGAAAACAGACCAAACATGAACGCCGCCCCGCTGTATTATGACTCACTTCCCAAGTGGATTGGCCACAAAAAAGTGCCCAAACTGTTTGGTTTACCACTAAAGTGATCCACCCGAAAAAGTGGCTGAAGTCCGAAACGGAACTCAGGAGATGACAATTGCTGGCCCTTGCATTTTCCCTAAAAGGGAAACTCCCCAAGCTGCACAGTTGGGGGTCACAACCCGCAGGTCAACTTTATACCAGTTTCTGGGGGTTGGCCAAATTTGATTTCAATTGGACGGGAGATTGACGGGATGTCTAAAGGACTAAACCCGCTTGCTTGTTCGCAATGTGAACCAATAGTGGTTGTTGGGTCATTCCCAAATGTGCATGCAGAGTCCGGTGTTTTTGGGGTAACATGGGGGTAACCTTGGGGTGGTTTGGGATCCATGTCCAGTTCTGACCCAGGGCCTTTCAATTTTTGGGAACACCCGTTGTCAGGGGCACCCCAAATTTGGAAGGTTGAGAGTCACACCCTGCAAAGGCCGTAAAGTTGTCTTTTTTGGGGGGGTGCTGTTTGCAGCGGCAAAGACTTTGTGTTCCTGGGTTTGCTGCCGCATCCAACCTGTTTTGATTTCAGGCCTATTAGACCATGATTGGCATGTGGAAAGTTAGCCAAGCTGTCTGGTTTTTGGTGGACGCTGGAAACTTGCGGTGGTCCTTTGGTTTTCCTTTAAACCAACCCCGGAAAGGCTACCCTCAAAATCAACACACAGTATTCCTTACGAATTGTTCGTTTGGCTACGGGTCCCTGGCTTAGTCAACTGATCCAAAAAGTGTTTCATGCTATGTGACTCAACAGAAGCTGATGTCCTGAAAGCCACAAACTACGACTATTGTCCAGAGCGCTCATCGCACAACCGGGCGATGCCTCGGTTGTTGTGGACCCCTCTACAACAAGTCTTCGACAATTTGTCCGTCCAATGCGGAAAATACGACCTGTTTCAACTAAAATGTTGTTCAGTCCAAAGACCCGCTTCCAAATGGGTATGGGTCAAATTAAACCACCAGGAATTGGACGGCAGGTTTCAGTCCATGTTTCCATTTACTGGGTTGTCCTCAGATCCCCCGCTAAACAAATCATTTTCATGGGACGAATGGAACTACTACTACAAAACACACAAAAGCTAAAAGCAAAGGAACCGGATGGCTCGGAACCACCAAGTTGCCTGGGCAAGCCATTTTGGGTTGCCCGATTTTTCGACAACCACACGCCAGAAAGCGTCGCTGGATCCTGCGAGCCCTTGGAGATCTTGGAAGCCGCCTCAGACCTCTGAGAGGCGGCTTGCTTCTCCTGCTTGGCCGCCTGCGACCCCGCCAAGATTGTGTGTGTGTGTGTGCTTGCGCGTGGGGTATACTCCCCTCCCCCTCCCCCCCCAAAAAAAAAGAAGAACAAAACGCTTCAAATTGTGGGACTGGGATTCCATGTTTGGTGTGGAGGACTTTGGTGGGGCAATTTCGGTGGGGTGTTTTCCCTGTGCAAAGGGGGACGCGTTACCCTTCCCAACAAGACACACTTGGAGTCTCCATGACCCATTTGGGGTCACGACCTCTTAATTGTTAGGTAGACCCCATGTTGCACAGGGTGGTGGTGTGTCAACTGTGTCAACTATGTTCTTTAAAGGGACCCCCAACATAACGAAACGCTGTTCCTTTTGGTTTCCCTTTAAAACTACCAAGCCTTCGTTCAAGATATCATTTCGGCCTTTGCGAGTGGGCGCTCTTCTTTGGCACGGGTTCCTCTTGGGGCTCCTAGGGAAGGGGTATATACCCTCTCCCACCAACTAACAGGGAACCTGACATTCGGGGGGTCCTGGACAATTTGCCTTTCCCCGAACGTCAGGGTCTCCATGGAAACTGGTGGAAGGGTACCTGGAGTCTCCATGACCCGTTCTCCCGTACTTGTGGGTAATGACCAACCATATTTTTTCGGGTCAGAAGGAGACTCCAGGCCCATTATTTTCAACCATCGTTCTTTTCTCAACAACCGGATCTGTTTCCCCACTGGGTGTTTGATGGCTTCCTGGAAAGAATGAGGAAAAGCGGACGAGCCACCAGCTCCATCTCGCCCGCGCCCAAGCCTCGCGGGAGGCGAGAAGCTGCGCTTCCAGCTTCGCCTGGCGAAGGGCGACGTACTGCTGCCGCACCCACGGAAAAACACACACAAAAAAAAAAACGGGGGGGGGGGAACGATGTGTCATACTCTAGGAGCCCCTTGAACCAGCAATGTTTTGTGGGTCCTCAAATTCCAAAAGAAGCTTCAACCAGTGAGGTCTGGGCTCTTAATGGGGCTTGTCCTAAGTGAATAACAAACTTCTTGCTCACCTCATCGCGTTTTGAACATGCGGTCATCTACCCAAATGCATTGATTGCATCCAGAACCCCTCAACCGCTGTTTGGACAGTGCTTGGACATTCGGACATGGGAGGAAACAAAAGTTGATGGGGGCGGGGGCCCTGGCTTGGGTCTCTTGGGAGAACTTGGTTGACGTTGGAAAGGGAACAAACAAAAATAGAAGTCAAGTGGGGATTTCCCACTAAACCACAATAAGCAAAAATGTAATTAGTTTCCCAACAACAGCCATGAGAAGTGGCCCGATTCTTGGAACTGTGGCAACAAAAAGCTCCCGTTCTGTTTGCGGGTCGTTAACAGAAATCTACAGAGGCAAATCGAAGGTTGGGAGGGTGGCGTTCTGCGAATCACACCAAAACTGGCTCCTCTTTCTTTGTGTAGTCTGGGTAGTTGCCTCTTTCTAGGTGGGAAACGATAAAGGACACCACGCAATTTGAAGGTATATTGTGCACGTCTTTCGTGGGGGAAACGCCCAGCTTGGGTTTTAAAAGGAAACCAAATAATTCTATGTTGGGCCATTTAGAGAGGGGCCTTCATGTAAAGCGGGGGGAAGGGAAAGTTACAAGCTGAAGAAACGTGCTGTCTTCTAAGGATTATCCTATTACATCCTAGGATTACACCCTGGGCAAATTTCCCAAATGGTCTCATATAAACCAACATAACCAGGTTTTAATCTATCTGGACATTGGCTAAACTAAAAAAACGATTCTTCGGAGGGCGTAACCCCCTGGTGTAATAGGAAAACTCTTGGATGTCTCCAGCGGGTTGACTTTTAGGACATTTGGAGCAGAACAGCTGTGGCGGAGGAAGGGGTTTAGTTTGGTCCTTTGGACAGTAAATGGAGCATGAGATTCAAGCGGGGCCGAGCCTCATAATTGGGGATAAGGACACTCTCTTTCAACCACACTCTTTTGGTGCATAAACCACAACCTGTCAGTGCTTCCATTTACCACTGCAGGTAGCCAGGAGCAACCATCATGCAAAACGGCTCGGATAAAAACGTCTTCGAAGAGGATAGCACAAGTTGGTTTGTCCCAGGTAAATCCATTTCGAAGGCAAAAGCAGAGCTGACTTGCAAGAGCCAATTCCAACCAGCAACTTTTCGGACAATCAACTTGTCCCTTCCAATCGCTTGGATCGATTTGGCTCTGCCTCGTCAGGGTTCGTAGCTCCTCTTTAAATTCATCACCCCAAAGCACACTCACTATCAAAGGTGGTGAGTAGGAACGCAAGCTTGGATCTTCCGAAACATTGACATTTAACGTAACATCCAGAGACTACCGCCTTTTGTAGCGTCTCATTGAAAACAACATGGAGTTGTCAAACTGGAAGCTTTCGGGGTAGAAGTAGTAGAAGTTGATTGTCCACCTGAATACACACCCAACAGAAATCCCAGAACAACGAACACACACACACACACCAACACACCAACACACCAACACACCAACACACCAACACGCCAACACGCCAACACGCCAACACGCCAACACGCCAACACGCCAACACGCCAACACGCCAACACGCCAACACACCAACACGCCAACACACCAACACACCGACACACCGACACACCGACACACCGACACACCGACACACCGACACACCGACACACCGACACACCAACACACCAACACACAACACACAACACAACACAACACAACACAACACAACACAACACAACACAACACAACACAACACAACACAACACAACACAACACAACACAACACACACACACACACCAACACACCAACACACCAACACACCAACACACAACACACAACACAACACAACACAACACAACACAACACAACACAACACAACACAACACAACACACACACACACAACACACACGCCAATTCCCCCTTGGAAAGGCAGGCATTTCCAAACAATCTCCCCCCCTATTAAACAAAAGAACAGTTTTGAAGCCTTCGGGGAAACGTCGAACTCTTTCTCGCGCGAACGAAAACAAATACTTCCATTTGCTTGAGGCCCCTGGACAAAAATGAGAACATATTTCCAGTAGTGACTGATTCCCTTTAAAACCAGCAAAGATTTGTTTAACAAATACCCTAGGAGAAATGGACCTTAAATATGACGGAGGGCTTGTACTGAGGTCCAAGGGGCTCCTAAGGTTAAGCAAAACCCAACACCCAACACCCAAAACCACCCAACACCCCAAAGCCCCAAAGCCGAAACCCAGAAACCCAAAAACCCAAACACCCAACACCCAAAAACCCAAAGCCCCAACCCGGACCCATTTTCGTCTCAGCAACTTCCACGCCCCACGTGGACAAAACGGCCGCGAGACGAAACGAAGCGCCGTGAGGCGCCTTCTGCTTGGCCACGGCTTCCAGGCGCCGATCGCGCTGCTCCTGCCTCGCTCAAGCGCTCGGGGCGCCGCGAGGCGCGGATCGGCGCCGGTTGAAGTCCCTTGGGGAAAGTACCTCCCCAATGGGTTTTCCTCTTAGGGCTACCCTGTGTCAGTAGCCATGTTGGTGGGAGGGTACATGAGGGTACTAAGTTACTCTGCCCTGTGAAGTACCTGGAGTCTCCTTCTGACCAGAAAAAGGGGTAACCCCGGAAAATGTTGGGTCATGACCAGCCATTTTCAAAGGGTTCAGGTATGCTTACAACCCGGAGAAAAAGCAGCTCGGAACCAACCAACGTGGTGGTGTTGGCGGTTTTCTTCCGACAACGTAGCTGGTTCCGTCGGGAACCATGTTCTGTTTTCTCGAGCTTTGACCGTCAAAGGCCAAGAAGATGTAATTTGCCGTCATCTTCCGTACAAACACCGTACAGCACAGTACGCAAAAACAAAATCTCGCCAACCCGGTGTTTCCTTACAAAACCGTGCTGTTTCGGGGCACCTGCTTTGTTTGTCTGGTGGTGAGTGGCTTGATTATCGGCGTCGTTCACCTTGGGCGATCATCTAAATTGGGTGAACCATGCTTTTACAGGCGTTCCGCCATGCACCTCCCCCTCCGGACGAAGCCTTACATAATGCAAAGGCGAGGGGTATTCATACAACCCCATGTGGTTTTCATGAATCAAAAAGGATTTTAAGGGTTGCTAAACATGACGTTTTCCTGAAACACAGTTGTTGGTTCAAGCTACAGGCGCGAAATTCGGGTTTTCTCGGGTTTTCCACGGGTTTGCTGCGTGGAGCCCCCTTTGTGTCTCAACAAATTGAAAAATCCAAACGCCGTGAAACAAGGGGAAAACAGGAATCAAGAGGTACCCCCCACCTCTGGCAGCAAAGATGTTGAGTTTCAGATTGGGCTTGGAATCAAATGTTGCCCCTACTTCGGGGGGATCACCAGGTGCCTATTCCGACGCAAGCTGCGCCACTCAGGGTAGCAAGGGTCAGAAGGCAATTTAGATGTTGGAAGGAATTCAAACAACAACAAAAAACTTTTTTCAGTGAGCATACCCTCGGCACGGTGTTTTTGCAAAGGTACGACAAATGTACCAGTTTTGGCAAGCCCAGGTATAGGTAACCAGGGTTTCTTGCCTCCAGGTTTTACCTGATCTCCCCTTGCCCGCGAAACGGCGCAACGGCGAAACACCTGGAAGCACCGGGCCCAAAGGAAACATGTTCTTTTTGTTGCTGGGTCCTCCAGGTTAGAGGCTAGAACCAGGGTACCAACTTTTTTCTGTAGTCTGAGTCTATTTTAGACATGGGGAACCCTCCCAACCAAAAAAGAAAGGGTGAGAAAGGGGACCTAGTTCGACTTGAGCAAAAGGTCCCGCACCTGGATTTAGGCGATTCGGTGAGTCACCGACCACCTCGCCATGTTTTGACCAGGGCTGTGGTTGAAATGAGACCACTGTGATACAACAAAAGGAGATTCGCAAAAGATCCCAAGAGTATCACAGTGGTTGGATAAACCCCGTGCATCACAGTGGTTGGATACACCCCGAGTGATCCCGACCATTGTGGAGTCTCCATGACTCATGACCCACTACAACTAACTCATTTGGCTGTGGGTCAAAACCCTGTACCTGGCGAACATCAACATAAGTGGCAAATGGATCTTCATCCACCCGAAAATGGAGCCCTAGGCTATGCCAACCATGGCCATGTAGGCTACCCTTCCTCCAACTAACATGGCACCTGTGGGGAGGTACCTGGAAGATTCATTTTCTTGGGAGCGCGTCCCTGCCAGTTGCCATGTTGGAGGCTACCCCTTCTTCTTGTCAGGAGACCCCAGACACATCTTGGTGGTCAACTTCTAGGTCCTCGAGTAGAAAGGTAAAAACTATTCCAGGGTACCCACCTTTTTTCGGTTTTGTCTATTTTAGACACGAACAAGACCCTCCCAACCAAAAAAGAACCGGGAGAGAAAGGCACCTAGCTCCGAGAACCTGGCCGTTCTTGCTCCAGCAGCTTCTGCTGCTCTTGCTTCAGGAGCTCCTAGCGAACGCCAACCGCCGCGGCAGGGAGGTGCCAAGGGCCGAAATCTCACGTGAGTGGCCACAAAAACGTCCTCGGACTTGTGATTTGCCACTAACATGGTCGTTTTTCCAAGAATAGAAAGTCCGTGAACTCAGGAAGTGACGGAACCCGGTTGCGTGAAAAACTGAATCAAGTCATAATCATGAGATCTGCGTGCAACTATACGTGACACTGACTCAGCTGGAACGCTGCAAGTTTTCTAATGTTGGGGTCCCATTGTTTGATTGTTTGTTTGTTTCTGGTGAACCCGAACACCTTCCTCGTACATCTGCTTAAGTCTCCTGGAAAGAATGAGACAATTATCCGTTGTGATAGATTCCAAAAAGAAGGGTACACACAAACAGACAAACCCACATACACTCATCTAAGCATTGCCGAGTTGCAAGCTGAATCGCAATCTAGCCCCAACCATGTCTGGTGTCTGGTGCAGCTGGCTCATCAAATGTTCCATGCACAAAAAAACAACTCGGAGGGAAAAAAAACGGCCTGCCTTGTCCTGTATTTCCTGCATGACAGCAGCGTCTTTTTCCTGCACGGCATTTCCCACTCTGGTATTGATCATACAGACTCAAAAAGCAAGATAGCTTTTCTTGCAATCGCACGTGCATTCTCATCTGGCCAAACTCGTATATTGCCTGAAACGAAAATAACGCAATCCCCTAACAAACTTTCATGGGTGAGCTCGTTTCCCAACTGAGCTACACACGGCACGTACTTGTCATGCCCAAGCCGTGAACCCTTGGCCGTGTGCAAGTTTCTCTGGGGTTGTTTCTTAGGTCCTCCAGTAGAGAGGCTCGAATAAGGGTACCAACTTCTTTTCTTTTTCGGCTTTGTCTGTTTTAGTAGGGAAACCCTCCCCCAAAACGGGTAAAAGGGCACGGTACCCCCTTTTGCTTTCTTGTTTAACCCAAAGGAAGCCGCGAGTGTGGGGGGGTTCGGAGCCCTTTGACACAGAAAAGGTTCTGAGGTCATTCCGTTGACGGTTGATGGGGGCCAAAGTCGGAAAAAGGGCCTGGTTCCCTTCACCACTTCGGGGCCAGAGGTGTCAAGCTTCGGCCTGCCGGCTCCAGCTTCGGACGGGAGTTCACAGACCCCTGCCACCGAAAAAAGGCAAGCGTCGATCGTGTTTGCCGGGCGCCTTGTTACACCAAGTGAGCAGCGCACACAAAAAAAGATCTGGTTTGGTTCTAACATAGTTGTAAAACATTAAAATTTGGCCACCTACAACCGCCATGACTGCGCTGCACCACTTTTGGTGGGCAACGGGACCAATGGGGATCGGTTTTGTGTACTTGAACCCTTCTTTTCCATCCCCACAACCTACTTCTTGCCTCTCTACCTCTTCGTTTCTGGGGATCCAACAAACAGCATGGGGGGCCGAAACAGACCATTTCCTTAAGCCGCCTGGGATATGTTCAGTAGTGAAATCAATTCCCTTTGAAGCCAACTGACAAACATAAAACATGTTCTTAACCAACTGTCAACCCTCAGTTTGTTCATCCAGGCTTCCATGATTTATGCCTGAAGAGGTGTGTCCACCCTGGCAGACACCAAACAGGACACCTTTTCTTCCAGTTGGTGAAAAACCGCGCGACACTTCGGCAAATGCTAGGGCCTAGCATTTGCGCTGTTTTGCACCTGGAAGACAAGGGTCCCCTGTTTGGTGTCTTCAGCTTCGGGCTCTAAAGAACGTGAGAGCTCGCCCTCTGACTCGCCTTCTTTGATCTCTCCTGCTCCTCCTTCCTGCCAGCGAGGCCATCAGTGTGCAGAGTCGAGCTCCCACACGAGTCAACCCAGAAAACCTGACAAGCTCCAGATACCTGTACGTCAAAACCCTGCGAATTCCGTTCCTTTACTGGAAGGAGTCAGGGGTTGACATCATACTCTAAACAAAGAGGGGATTTGGAGTACTAACAAGCAATTTGAAATTGGACAATAGTTTCTCCGAAACCATGACATCACAATTTTTGTGTCGCCAGTGCTCCACACCCGGGACTTCAGCTCTTGGGCGGAGTTGAACATTTACCGATGACACATGCCTAACGAATCATTCTTTAGGACATGGCAAATTGGAACGCGTACCTCTCGACTGCCCCAAACAAAGTCTCACCGGAACCATTGAGCTGCCGCTGAACCAATTAAACTCGGCATGTGTCAAGCTAGGGACTCCTGCGTGTGTTCACTTCTCCTTTTTCAAGCGGACTCGCCCTTGATGCATGAGCATGTGTGGTTTCAAATTGGTTCATACTACCCCCAGTAAGTTGTTGGTTACAACGGCTATAACCCATACGTCCCAGTATAAAAGTGGCGTTGACCCTGTCGCAATGTCAGTGGGTTGGCTAACTGCCTAACTTGGCCGAAGATCCAAGCAGCGAACACTGACTGTTTCGTTTGTTCCCAAGTGGCTTTGTCTCTGAATACCTCCAATCTCCAAAAGCAATGGTTGCCCCTTGGTATCCCTTGAACACAACACATCCAACTACAAATATGAGCTTGTCACTGCCACTGTAGCACCCAACTACCTGCATATTGAAGGTATTTGTGTGTTTTAGGGGACCCAAAATGGGTGGCTGTCCTTTCGGTGTCCCCTTAAAAACACAAAATAGGGGTACTAGGGTACCAACTACAAGAAAAGCGAGCCACCCACAAATGTGCAATGGTTATACTTTTTTCGTGAGCACGATGAGCCGCCCTGCCCAAATAGAACATCGACCAAGCGGCCAGATACATTTGCAAACATTGTCCCACTAGTAGTGTGGATGGAAGCGAAATCCATTTCGCACCACCTAAGAAACCCCTGAGTGATGATTCCGCCTGTAAATACCAACAAACTATGGCTTCAACCATGGTTTCTTACGTGGTGCAGGATTTCGTGAATCAAGAGTATGAAATAGAAACATGACTGATGTTGCACCCCATTCAATATTTTTGTTAGGCCATTGCCGTACTGCACTGTTTCCCCGTTTCGAGAAACACTGATTCAAACCGCCAATCCAAACAAAGCTTGGCAAACATCTGGGGCACTCCACAAATTTCGCTTTCTGATTCTGCCTCATATTTAGTCTACCCATGGGGAACTTTTTTTGGAGGAGACCTCAATAAGAGTTACCTAAAAGATCGACCACGATCTCAGAGGTGCACTGTTTCAGCCACTTCTTCAGCTCCTTCACCTGACAGCCGAAAAGCCGATGCCCGCTGAGCCAACAAAAGTCTGGTGACAATAGACCCAGCAGTAAATTCACCCCCTGCTCCAAATACACTTCCAATTCCTCCAGTAGAGAGGTTAGAATAAGGCTACCAACTTGTTTTCTGTAGTCTATTTTAGTAGGGATTTGTTTTCCAAAAAAAAAAGGTAAAAGGACACTACTGGGGAACCTAGACTTGTCCAAGAAACCACAGCTGCTGAACGGCATACGGGACTTACGGGACATCCTTGTTTTCGGTGGGTATTTGGAAAACTTCCTGAATACTGAATAATGTCCGGTATTGGTTTCTATGAACTTGTTTTTAAAAAGTATCATGTTAGCCCTGCACATCCCTGGGGGCCCCATCCCTGTACTAAACTTGAGAGGCGGGTGAACGAAAGCTAGCCTAGCCAGCCCAATGACGACATGTACCACTCAGGAGTTGCTAGGATAGTAGGACTAGCAATCCTAAATGAACGTCTAGAAATGTCTAGAAAGACAGGTTCCCCAGCTGCAAACACGTGGACGAGATTATGGGAATACGAGCGTGCCGGGAGCGGCACAGGGGGGGATCGAGGTCCTGGGTGGGTGGGGTTGAGGGGGGGGCTGCCCTAGGAAAGGAGTTGGTCTTGCGAATCAGGCTTTTCAGGACCCCCGTCCCCCCAATCCCTGATAAAATCAGGCATCGTGGGAAGCTCAGCTTAGAGAACTCCCGCTAGCACAGCTAGCTTCCGTGAAAAGCGAGGTACTTACCATGGAAAACAGTAGGCCATCTCCATGACCACTACGCCACTTTAACGGGGTTCTCTCGGTGTCTCAGGTACATTGGTGCTAAGTTCCAAGTCTTCCACAACCATGACCATATACTATACCCCTGAGCTTCAAACCACCGTCAAAACAATGGGGCTAATATAACCACCATTGTTTACCTAAGGACTGTCATCATGTAAATTGGGTCCTTCACCCCTGGTTTGGTGGTTTTTAAAGGCACCAAAAGGGACAGACCCATATGATACCCCAAAAAGGAGCTCCAAAGAAAATTCCTCCAAAGATTCTAAGGGTTGATTTCCCGTTCTTTCCAACCATCGTTCTTGTTTAGAAAACTTGCCGTTTCCCTGGGTTTCCGGAGGTTTGCGAGAAAGAAGGATCCCTGGAAAGAATGGGAATGGAGGTTACCCCTAGACTATTGGCCATTTTAGTTGCTGGTTCTACTACCTGGTTCTATGAATAGTTAGAAGAATCTCAGTTGCCCAAAGGACCCAGAACTAAAACCTTAACCTTTTGGCACCTCTACTAAAAGTGGACCAAAAAGGGAAAACCAAAAGGTCAAAAGGTCGATTCGCTTTGGACAACTGAGGAATGGAGAAGCTAGCACTCGAAAGATCGCTCCACGCAGTCTGACAGACTGCTTCCGCACGCCTTGTCTTTGCGCCGCTCTTCCTCGATTGCTTCAGCTTGCTCCATCTGCGACCTGCTGATCAGCAGGGGGGATGAACAAAAAATATTATATATATATATATATGTATACATCTATATCTATGTATATATATATATATGTATATGTATATATATATATAAATATGTATATGTATATATATATATATATACATATATATATATATATCAGACCCATCGATCTTTTGTCGTTTTCCCTTTTCCAGAGAGGGTCCAAGTACATTCTAACAAGGTACTCAGACTTTTTTTTACCCCCCAAAAGCCATCCTCATGAGGTACTTGGACCCTCTGGGTTTGGAAAATTAACACAAAAATCCTATTGAGCACCATTCGGGACTAAATGACTCGCCTTTGGGGCTAAGGGACTACCTGGTGACCTGTTTTGGGCCGGACATCTGGAGTTTTCGAGGGTTGCGTGGTGGGGCCCGCCCAAAAGGAGAACAGTCCCTGGTCCGGTTGCACTTGGTCGCACGGGGGATACTGGTGATTTTCCTTGTGCAGCGCAAATCCCGATGTGACTGGATGCATTCCAGGGACTCCGAAGGGAAGCCAACCCAGGACAGCCATCCCCATGCCGGTGGTTCGCCTTGACCACACGCCAAAAGTTCAGGACTTTGGGCTGAAAAGTTGACAAGGAACTGTGACTTTGGGCAAACGTGCCAACAGTGAGGTACCTAGAGTCTCCTTCTGACCCTTAAAACATGCTGTCATTAGCCCTCAATTTTGGGTAATGACCCCATTGTCAAAGGGTCATGGAGACTCTAGGTGCCTCTCAGCAAAATCGGTTGCACCCTGCTTTCCTGCCATTGTGCCCTCTCCGGCATGGTGCGCTGGGGAAGGCTCGGAAAGGAATGGGGTCCAGACCCTCGACAAGGAATGGAAGCGCAGAACCCTCTTTGGGGGGACATTTTTCATCTTGAAAAGCGGGGGGTCCTCTGCCACTTGAGCTGCAAGCACAACTCATTGACTTTGGGTAGCAAGCAATGAAGGATTGTTCACTGCAGACCAGTGAAGGAAGATAGAAACCCCTTTGAAAATATATGGGTGTTGCTCAAAAGTGCGGACCCATGTTGGTTGGCATCTACAAGGAAAGCAACCAACATCAACTTTTAGGAGGCCACTATTTTGAGAAACCCCCATTCATGAAGCAAGATGGGAACTACTGTGGCTGGACGAAATCCGTTCGCACCACGAAATGAAACCATGGTCCGTTGGCACCACGAAATGCACCCATGGTTGAAAAACACGATTTACAGGGGGAATCGAGTCAGACACCAGGGGTGTTTTAGGTGGCGCGATCCAAAGGAGCTGGTAGAACGGCCGTCACCATGGGCCCGGGTGCCGCGAGCTCGAACTCAACTCGCGCCTCTGTGCTTGCTGCTTCTTTGCCTCCTGCTGCTGCTTCCTGGCAGAGACGAGGAGCGAACTCCTGCATGAACCATACACATATATGTATGTATATATATATAATAGTCACCCCCCCATGCACTACATTTAAGACCATTTGGTTCATCTCACCCTTCAACGCACTGGTACTATACAAAAACAAATGAATATATAAGGCACTCACACAGCTCAAGAAAATCTTCGAGCCGGCCTCTTCACTTGCAGCTTCATCTTCTCTGCGATCGCCTGCAACGCACTGATATTTGGGGTCCAAAAACCTCCTAGGAAAAAGGCAAAAGGGCTAAACAAAATACTTAGCCCTGGCAATCAACTTGGTATGGGATAATCAAGGAACAGCGAGGCCAGAAGTTCAACAATCAAAACACGTGGGTTTCTCGTATTTTGAAGTGTACCCTCTTTGGGGTTGCTTAGGGAAACCAAAGAGACCCAAGTCTGACAATGCTCCAACGGCAGCCGCGTAAATCAGCGGCACCTCCATCTTCTCCCGCTTCTCCCTCTCGATGTCAGCGATCAACGCCGCCTTCTCATCCTTGTTCAGCGCCTGAATCGCAGGTGTCCAACCATTCCCTCGTTGTTTCGCGCCAAAATGAGTGTGGTTCAAAATTAAACAGGAGAACAAACCGCAGGTTTTGGTCCATGTTTCCACTTACCAGGGTTGATTTTGGTACCCTTTTTTTAATGCCACAGACAAAATAGATAACCTCTTGCGATCCGTTTTCCAGGTGCCCAGTGCCCAGTGCCAGTTTCTCCCTGCGGCCCCGACCTTAACATATCCCCCCCCCGTCTTTTGTTGGCCTCAAAATGGAAAAACCGGAAGTCCGGAGGGGCCGAAGTCCGGGCTGGATTGGGCAACGTGTCTGAAGTGGCAACTCAAAAACCGGAAGTCCAGAGGGTAGGGGCCCAAGGGACCCTAAACTTGAGGGATCTTAACCCCCAAACACCTCAAATGATGAGGTCCAAGGGGCTAGGGCAAGCCGCCTTCCCCCCCAAGCTGGGGGATGAGATTCCTGCCTCGATACTGTCGACTTTCCTCTTTTCGAACCTCACGTTGCGCGCTTTGGGACATGCTGCATGCAGCCTCAACACTGGGCCAGACGTAGACCCCCAAAAAGCGAAGTCGATTTGTCCGCTGGTTGAAGGTGAAAGTGATGGAAGCCCAAAAGGCAAAAGGTAAAAAGGGCCAAGTTAGCTTCCGTAGGTAGTTTCAGGGCAACCCATCAGGTTGCCTCTGAGCAAAGTCTGAGGCTCGCGGCTTGCCATTCTTCACGGTTCCGGCATAGTTCTTGCCTCCGTCAGACTCTCAGACGGAGTAAACGGCTCGTGGCAGATCCAAAATAGCTGACCCAAAGAGAAGTTGCAAATGTTGATTTGGAACTTCTTTCTTGTTTGTCTGCGGCGTGTGCTTGGGAATGCCTCTTGTTGTCCAAAAAGTGACCAGTTTGCTTCAACAGGCCTGCTCCAAATCTGGCACCAGTGTGCACCATTGGCCCTGCAATCCAGCGAGAAGCCAACAAAAAGGAACAGTGTTCGCTCCTTGTGGGGCTGGCCATATGTTAGGCATGACTTTGAGTTTGCCAAGGGCCAAGGCCCTTCGCCCAGTGTCTCCTCCCAAGACCGCTGTTTAAGGGACTAGCTAATTGGCATGGGGCATTGGGTGGTGGGGTACTTCCAAATTCTCACTTGATGGGAGATATGTGGCCCCTATTAGTGAACAACATGCGTTTCGCACCAATAGCTTGTCCCAGGCATCGTGTCCATCCACGCCGGGTGCCGATCGGCACGGATTTTGTCCGTCCAGGGCAAGTATTCAAATTCTGATGAGCATCCAGCGGTTGACCCTTCCCATAGACGCCACGTATGCTAGATACTACATAGACAGCCTCATGGGTCAAATGTTGGTCAAAAGGCGTTTCAGAAGGAACTCCGTGTTACAAACACTAAGTGAAGGTAGTGTTGTGCACAAATCATAAGACAATGAAAGAATGAATGCGGAAAAAACAAACTGTGTGAGCGTGTGGCGGGGGAATAGAAATCGCAAAATTAAATTGACTGACACTCTGCGTGCTAGGGCGTCTCCGGCGTGCTGAAAGCTACTTTGGTCGAGACGCCTGACACACGGCGGTCTGGGAACGGCTTCGGGCGTGGGCCCATTGGCACGAGCGCGCACTTCTCGCAAGTTCAGTTTCTGTGTGACAAGCGCTTCGGCACACTGAGGTACAGATTGCACAAACACAGCACTTGCTGAGTTGGCGATCAAATTTCGTGGCAGGCGCGGCACTTTTGCAGACCCAGGCGCAGATTGAGTGCCAGGCGCGGCATTTTGTCAATGCCACGTGTCGAAACAAGCTGGTAGGTGAGGCGAATTCTTGCAAGGTCAATGCACAGTTCGTGGCAGGTGCAGCACTTCTGCAAGGCCGGGTACGGATTTCCAGGCCGCGGCGCTTTCAGAAGATAGACAACTAGCTGGATTGAAAGGTAGACAGCAGGATAGGTAGATAGTGAGATTAAATGCATACATATAGGTAGATGCATGGAAAGATAAAGAAGAAAGAAATAAAGAAATAGACAATGATAGAAAAAAGGGAGGAAGGAAGGAAGGAAGGAAGGAAGGAAGGAAGGAAGGAAGGAAGGAAGGAAGGAAGGAAAGAAAGAAAGATAGATAGATAGATAAAAAAAAAGAAAGAACAAAAGAAAGAAACCAATACATAAAGACAGAAAGACAGAACGAATTAGATTAGATGGTCGGCTGGCATATGTTACCTACTTGGATTCTGTGAATTTCACAAATATCGGCAATCATCGGGCTCTCTTGTTGTGCTTGATTTGAAAGGGGGCGTCCCCGCTCCAAAGAGAAGGACAAAAACGCAGCGCTGGAAGTTTGTGAGTATACAATTCTGATTCACTGCCATAGCAACGATGGAAGAGGAACGTTGATTTGACCCCTAGTAGTCTCACTATGCGGCCGCAATGGCGACCCGCTTACCACGACTCCGAATCAGCATATCGGTGTGAATTTGAGCTGCGAACACCAAAAGGGGTGGACAGCATTTAGGGGTGAACATCAGCCTACCTGCCGGGAGGGTATTCCTCATTAAACTTCACAGCCATGAATGTGGGAATCCAAACGCAGCAGGCTGCGTCGCCCCGCGATCACTTGCCTTGTTCCGGATTCGGTGCCGCGACCGCGCCCGCTGATTGAGACTTGCCTCATATCGGAATGCATCAGGTCCGACGGGCCCGAAATGGAACTTGCCGACAGTCAGCACTTCACCCGGCCTTGTCTTGGTTGACGTTGGAAGGGGAGCAAAGTGTTCCTCTCTGTGTTTTTTTGTTTAACAATTAGCAGTTAAGTGGTTGGATTTCAACCACTAAACCAGAAGAAGCAAACATGGGAACATGTTTCCCAACAACAACCATGTTGTTGAAAGGCTTCAGGACTTGAGATCCACTCACCTATTTGCATTTATCCAGCTTGTACATAGCCCTTTGACATACCCCTTGGGCTGGATAGAACCCAAAAGGCCTGCTGATGTTCATGCCCCTCTCCCCAAAATGGGTATAAACCTCTTATAAAGTGGGTTGGAAACCAGGGAAGCCAAGGGATATGAACAAGGGGTATGTACTGCCACCCGAGGTTGGAACGGCCTTTATGTAGTATAGAATTGGGGAAGGCATGTGAGGGAAGTGCAAAGGTGGATGCAGATCCCATGATCGCCACTTCAATTCTTGAAGATACATAATCCATCTGCAAATGTTACTATAATTCCAACAGCTGAACTGAGGGATTCCTAAGTAAAGGGAATCCCTTATTATGGTGAGCTCGTTGTACCCGCAGGTCAGCTCGTTAAAAAATGGGCAGATCCATGCTGACACCCCCCCCTTCCCCTCGGACGCCCCCTCCGCGCAGGGATCCTCGAGGGATTTGATTTGCATGAAAATGTGTCCCAACAACAACCATGTTGGGGCCCTAATTTTCATGGAGCTCCATGCACAGGAAAACGGCACGGCTGTTGGGACCCTTCCGCCCATTGGACCAGTCCAAGCTGCTAAACTGTGAAAACAATCCCACCACAGTCCCCCCACTGTTGATCCCGGAGAAATAAGCCTGCCTACTGGCGTGTGTGTTCTTCTCCAAGAGTGACGGGCCCTCCACTGAAAGGGGAAATCACCCCTACTAATCAACCAGGGATTTATCAGGGATCCTTACATTATACACCTGAACATTGCCGTGTACATGGTGGTGTCCCTTTACTTTGGTGGAAAAAGCCATGTTTCAACCAGGGATTTATTCATCCGTGCTTTCATGAAAAGGGGAGCAATCCCTGATTGATAGGGCTTCGTCCATGCCAGCTGCAGGATTTTGTCCATCCACATGCTCGGGGGAAAAACCAAATCCGAGGTTGACACTAGGTGGTTCTTCCATTTTCACCGCGCAACAGGTCTAACCCTTTGTAAGCTTGCTGGAAAAGAGGGCCAAAGATCCAACTTTTCATGGAAAGAGGGCCTTCAAACTTGGTGGCTCCGTTTGAATGCCAACCTCCGAACCAGCAAAATCGCAAAAACAACACACACACACACACAGCCCTGAACCACCAAACACCCCCTCCCCACACATACCCTTGGGAAAGACTAAAAATCGAGAATTGTTGGAGGTGTGGTTGGGTCTCGGCAAGTTCCATGACAAACTCAGATCCTATATAAGTGGATTGGCCAGCAAAAGTCCTGGAACTGTTTGTTTCCCACAAAAACACGTTTTCCCCAAAGAGTCGCTAAAGTCCATGACCTCGGTAAGTGAGGCACAAACGGTCTATCATGCCTGGAGTCGGATCATCTCGGAGCCCCCACGCAGTGCGTTGGCCTGCGTGCTTTGGCTCATCTCCCTGCAGCAGTTCCGTGGAAAGCGGACTTTCTGACGTTCCAGGAGTCAGATATAGCAAAACCGTGGGCCTCAAGAGTCGCCTTCCGACCCCTGGACAAAGGGGTCATAACTCCTGGATTTTGGGTAATCTCCCCATTTTTTAAGATGAAGACTAGCCCGTTTTTAAGATGGAGACTCCAGGGGTACAGCTATCATTGTTTAGCCCTCGGGAGTCAGGAGCTTCATCTAAGTTGGGTCAACACTTCTTTGGGGGTTAAACTCTAGTATGGTTTTCTACCACCATGAGTTTAATTGCTTGTAGACGCCTTACTATGACCACCATAGGAATATCTTACTGGAATGGCCACTGGGAGGATCTCTTAAGGGGGAACCCTACAAAACTTGTTGAACGATGAGCCACGGTGAGTACTGTATCCGTCTACTGCCACCTGACGCCACATTCTCAGACTTCGACACCCGCTTTTTTTCGTTGGTATGGTCTGGAAAAGTAACGGTTTGCCAGAAGATTGAAGGGTTCACAAATCATACGGTTCCTCCCGTATCAAAATGGGGGAACCCCTACCAGCACCCGGGCCCCAACCATTGCTTTTTGGACCGTGGAGGTTTTGGACATGGGAACGCTGGAAAAAAGGGAGCCGCTGCCCGAAAAAGTAACCCCAAAAAGGTACTACTGTGGATGGACGAAATCCTGCACCACTTGAAAACCACAGGAAACCATTGTTGGTTGGTGTTTACAGGAGAATCGTCATTCCAAGGTTTCTTAGGTGGTGCAGGACTAGTACCCTCAACAAATCGACAGCCAAATTTGCGACGGAATCAAGAACAGTTCTTGTCCTGCTAGGGCTACACAAACGTACAGTCTCCAATTTATGTCTGAAAATCGGGGGCCATCCAAAATGATGGCTTTCCTTTTGGCTTCCGCTGAATCCAGCCTGAAAAGAATCACACCAGAGACACGAGCCAGTTTTCGGCACGATCAATACGGCTCTGCCAAAGGACATGGACCATGTAGTGGCTGCCCCCGTGTTTTTTGTGGAGCAACGCTTCACCTCCATGGGCGATGTTTGGATTCTTTGGGGCCTGATCCCTCGCAGAAGGTTGAACTTTCAGTGGGATATGGGTACATGTTTTTGAGGGTGGGCTGTCCTTAAATCCCTCGCTCAAAGCTTAACTTTTAGTGGATTAAATGGAAATCCCCACTAAACACTAAAAGGCTAAAAAGCTAAGGGGATGGCTAGGAACCACCAAGTCATGTGGGATTACTCGGTTTCCTCTCTCCGATTCCGAATCGACGCCGAGTCGATCGGGGTGTCCGCGCTTGGCAGAGCTGTGCGGGTCAAGGGTTGGCGGCCTCGCGTTCGGACGGACATTCTTAAATGGTTGAAGGGGTAAAACGAGTAAAAGCCCATGATGAAGGTCCGCTATACTATGTTAAACTAGTCCTTGTTTCCCTTGAGCAACTTGGCGAAGCACCGATTTGGGTAGATGAAGGTGAAGGGATAATCCCCTTGCCATAAACGGGTGCAGCCATTGCAATTCTTGAAGCATCCCGGGCAGATCATTTTGGTCCCAGCGTTGGATTAGGACTCGTGTTGGAGCCCAAGACCTCGTTCGAGGCCTTTCGGGCTAGGCCCTCATATTTCGGGCCCAATGGGGCTCCTAGGGCAAATGCCCGTCAGCATAAACAAGACAGGCAGGAATTCATCATGAATACCTCCTCCAGTCACAGAAAAGGCCGGGTGATTGTTGGGGACTCCTTTTGCGCCACTGTTCAAGAAATTTTCGCCCAGGGCGCAGGGGATTCCAGAATCAAAGCTGTTCAAATCTCCTTTTGGGTTCCCTGATCCCTAGATTCCTGAAACTTTGTGAGCCAGGGGACCACAGGTTGCTCCATGTGTTTTCGAGCCAGACCCGACTAAACCTCGTAAAAGTGGTATTGTAATGCGGACCTCATATTAATCAACTCCAGTTTATAGGGGGGTGTTCAGTTGTTCCCCTCCAAAACTGATGATGCTCCACTAAGTCCAGGGACACCCCCATGAACAAACTGGGGTTGATTAATATGGGTCAACATGGGTGACCCATAAAACAGGAGCTGTTCACCAGCCAAAATGTTGTTTGCTTTTTTAATAAAGGTGCAGGGACATGTCACCACTGGGCCAAACTGAAAAGGTTTTTTTGGTGTGTTCAAAGGTAGGCCTCCGTCCTTATGCCAACTTTTTGAACATGTCCCAGCATTGGGTTGGACGGCCTGGTGGAATCAGTTTTTCTGCGGTCCATCCAGCCAGTTGGGCTGCGGTTTTCTCTAAATACTTGCTTTTTAAGGGGTAGTTTTCGAAAATTAGTTTTTGCACAAAAAATGGAACCAAAACCTAAAGAACCGGATGCCAAGTTTCACAGGGCCCCTGCATCGAATCCGCCCATTGGTCCATCGGGTCCCGGGCTTCGGCTGCATGGCAGGTGGCGCCCTAGGGTCCGGGTGAGTTCCAGGTGGGGTTTCTCCCGGAATTTTAACGAAAGGACAACCGAGGTTTCCACTGAAAAACCCATGGACCCATGGAAAGCCCATGACCAAGGGAAAAACAACCAGGGAACACCAACCACTTGGTCAGCTGCTCGGGTTGCAGGGTTAGCTCCACTCGCGGGGACGGTTCTGAGTAGGTTACCGCCCTCCTGGTTTTTGAGGGGAGATTCTGTCTCATAGTCAAAAGAAACTAAGATAATTTGTGTCCTTCTTTGAGGGTACCTTTTGGGGTTGGGTTTAAAGGAAACCAGAAGGAAACCACTCATTTGGGGGTCCCCTAATTTTGAGACAAACCCATATCGGAGGAGTCCCGTCTTGCTGAACCAAACCAAAGCCAGCAGAAAGGCGTGTGAGTCTATGCAGTCGGCTTAAAAAATAGGATACCCCCAAAACGGCTTGCCCTGGTAAATGTAGCCAAGGCCTAAAACCTGCAGTCCACTTCCTGGTGATCCTTACAAATAGAGAAGCGGTGACAGGGAGCTGTCTCAGGTCATGGCTCCACCTTCACACCCTCTTCCACGGCAGAAGCCTGCGGAGCCACGAAGCCAAGTGGCGTAACTGGCCAGTCAATCCCAGGCGTTTCACCTCTAGACTAGGTCCTCCAGTAGAGGGTTAGAATAAGGGGACCCTTTGTTATGTAGTCTATTTTAGTAGGGGACCCTCCCCAAAAAAAGGGTAAAAGGGCACCACTGGGGGACATAGTAGAGTAACCAGCCATGCTCCTTTTGGCTTCTTCAAGGGTGGTAAGCCCTTGCTTACCTACTAGGGCAATGGAATCGCTGGGATGTGCGAGTGCACCCAATGTCATCCCCTTTGCAAAGGGCAACTGACAGGACAAGTGACTGCATGGCACATGGGCCATTAAGTCATGAGTATGGTTGCTAACCGCTACTAGCCACATATTAAATACCCTGCCCTCCAGGGAACAAATGGAAAGAAACGAGGCATTTCTGAAGAATCTGGTCGGGATCTTGCTCTTCTATTGACGTGTTTTGTTCTTTGGTCCTGTTGCCGCGCCTTTCCTGCACCTTCCAACGTGTGAACCATTCTCAAAACCCGGGGTCGATCAACTGTGGGTAGTAAGGGAGAATCCCAACCACAAATACCCTTCTGTTCACTAACATGGAACCTGCTAGAGGGTCCCTTTAAAAGGAACATATTCAGCAGGTTAAAGGCATTTCTTACCAGGCTTTACATGATGGTTCCCCCTGGTTGCTTACTACAATGAACGATGGAAGCACAAAATACAACCACCTTGCCGATTCTCATCCACCATCACAAACAAATGACATGGCACATCACACATCAACAGTTCTCCGTGGGAGCGGGCCGAAAAAAAAATGCCGGTCTGCAGAGAAACAGCCAGTGTGACAAAGAACTTCCACTTGCCATAGTGACAAGGGACACCTATCTTGTGAGACGAGGCAACAGCAACGTAACCATAGGTGTCCTTTTCGGGGAATTAGATGGCCCTGGTAGATGATTAAACCACCAGGTAAACCAGGGCCATAAAACAACCAAAAAGGACACCTATGCACGTAACTGGAAGCACTGGGCCAGATTGAACGCCTTTAAACAAGGCGCCCGACCAACACACTGAACCATCTCATTTTGCGCGGGGTTCCAAAACTAAGCCAACCATTGTTCAGCTCCGCCAAAAAAAGAAGAAGAGAAGAAACACGTCCCACAGAGACAACGAAAAGTAGGTCAATGCCTGACCCCTAGAAAAAGGGGTCATAACCCCTTACTGTTGGGTGATGACCTCATTTTTAAAGGGTCAGAAGGAGACTCTAGGTAGCCTCTCGAACTTTTGTTGAACCCGAGTCCTATGCCTCGATTTCAGCAAGTCGGGGCGTGGTCGCTGGAGCAGGTGTTCCAGCCCCAGGACCCTTAGGTAAAAACACACACACACACACACACCAGGGCTTTCCAAAGATTGTCGTCCGCGCTTGACATCATACCCTAAAAGAGGGTATAGTTGGATGTAAGACTGGCAGATTTGGCTACTGTCGAAGTCGGAAGAATAAAACAAGTCTCGGATAACAACTATATAGCATGAAAGCTGCTGAATTTGTCCCTAGGAGCCCCTTCGACCCAAAATATATGAGAGCCTTGAATTTCCAAGGCCAAGATGGCAACAAATAATGAGGTCCAAGAACCTAGGCAGGTTCCATGTGCTTTCTTTCGGAGCCTTTCCCCCCGCTACAAAATTCGCAGCTCGACCTTTTGGTTCCGCAGCTTTCGGGTTGCGGCATCCCCGGCCATGCGCGGGGGAAAACTGCGTTTCACCTCTCCACTTCCTCGGCCGCAGCGTTTGCCGCGCGGGTGTGGAAAAGGGCAGTTGGCCCGTTGGTTTTTCGGTTCCCTGTATGCCCACATGGAGGTTGAAACCACCGAGCGGGGAAATAGAGGGAGCCCTGTACCGTAGGTGGGCGCCACATGAGTCCAAATCAAAACCTGAACCAGAACTGTGTAAAGAAGTAACAAGGCGGCCGCACCAATTTGTGGCTGGGATTGTCCTTTGCTGCCCCCCCAATTTCCTGGGTTTTGATTGTGGCTCACATGAGACGTAAGCGCCACCTCTTTCGCACCCTGAGGGATGCTTTGCTGGCCTTTAAGCAGCTCGAGAGCATGTCTCGAATTGCGGAAAACCGCCACCCAAACGCCCAGCTCTCCAGCTCTATAGATCCTCGCAACGATTCTTCTGTTGGATGTCGAAGAGTGTGACACCTGCGAAACCAAAGAGGAAAACGGTACAATACCTACCGGGTGTCTGGTGGCCTAAAAGCGAACGTTTCCTGCCCAAAAGGAGAGAACCGGCGGTTTTTCTTTCCTAGGACAAGCTGAGTATCCACCCACCCCAGCTGCCATCAAATGCGGCTTCGGCTTGGAGGGGGAGTATGTTATGCTCAGGTGTTCAGTGACCCTGGAGAAAAAAAAGAACCCTTTTTTGGGAAGACCATTTTTAGTGGGGCAGCCCCCAAGAAAAGGGGAAAAAGGGTGCCACTGAACAACTGAGTATGGTAACACAAAAAAATGCATATGCCTGCCGCTCCTTGCTTGTAGCTAAGGCGGCTCTGTCAAGAAAAATGGCGGTTTGCATCTTCAGAGATTTGAAACGTAATTGCAAGCTCACTGCATCTACTCTCTACTGCTCAAAGATCAAACAAAATCTTGGTGCCCTTCTTCACACGAAAGGCCCAAGCATCTGTCTGGCCTTCGATCTTGTCCAAATGAATCTGACAGGAACTTTGGTACCTTTCCACGTCAAGTTGGATCGGCTGTCCAGAGGCAACTTTCGGGTTCTCAAGAAGCCAGTGGCAAGCCTTCATCAAGTCGATCTGGATTCCGTTGTCGAAAACAAGCGGAACTCGCTTGCTTGTCTTCAGCCCGGGCTGCGCCCTTGCGTAGAAGTCTGCCAAGCTGTTCATGAGCCCATGTTGTTCTGCTGCACGCACTCCCATTACACACCCAGCTGCCGAATCCACCATCTTCTTGGTCTGAGAAAAGCAGTGCGCGCAGGTCTCCGCGTCAATGAAGTTCACCACTGCCAGCTTGGACCAGGGAAGATGCACGAAGTTGTAGGGGCGATGGCTTCGGCCGTAGCCACACCAGACGTGCAAGTGTTCTAGAAACTCTTGCTGCGACAACTTGCTGCTCAGCTTGAACATGAGAGCCGTACACGCCCCCAGCGATGAATCCGGAGTCGACATGAGTGACGGATGAGATCGATCTTGCTCCAAAGGGCTGCCGAGTGACGGTGAGTCGGTTGCGGGGCCCGGGGCTTTGACAACGCCATGTAACTCTCCAGCTGTGTGGGATGAGTCTTTCTCTTGACTCAAACACCAGAGCTGGGGACAAGATGACCTGCGAAGTGTTTTGTCGATTTCTCAAAGGGCCCAGACTTGCTTCACGGAAGCCCCTTCACCAATCAGACACAGGTCATGTTCGAAAGCTTCTGTTACAAGGGATTGAATAATTAGAACGTACCCGATCATACTATACGAGTGCTCGAAAAAGTTAGGTCCCTCATGTGACAGTAAGGGTCCAGATAGATCCCTCAAAAGGGTTTGCCTCTTTTTCAGGACCGAAGTCAACTCATTTGGCAAGAGCAACCATGCAGCTCAGGCCAAGCGATCAAGTTGACGGTTCGTTTGGGTCCCCGCTCGAGCATTTCAAGGGCCTTTGGAATTACGCAAAATGAAGGTCCCAAGCGGAACCGTGTCTGCCCTCCCCCAGAGCATCCCCACTTTGCAATGACAACTTAGTGAGTGTCCCTCTGCTTTCCCGTTGAACTACCCCCTACCCGCTTTTTAAAGAGTGTCATTTCTGAAAACCTTGTTTTCCACCACATCATGACTTATCATACATGGGAAACGTGGGTATTGGGTGAAGGGGGAACGGCATTTCCAGTACCGCGCAGATTGATTGCTCGAAGTTAGGTTGTCGGCTCGCCTCCCTGATCCCCAATCGTGCCTGCTTATCCTCGCTGCGAGCTTTCTCCTTCCTAAGGAAGGGAAGCACGTGTGTCAAAATGAGCGAAGGGACCTCTTGGTCCGCGAGAGAAAGAGAGAAGGAGTTTACGGGTTGTATGAGTCTCGTTCTTTCAATGGTTCTTCAATCAAACGGCCAATGCCCTTGGCTGAAGATTAGTTTTCTTCTTGACAAATCCCTGGGATGAATGAGGAAGTTGCTCCTAGAGAGAGAGAGAGAGAAAAGGATCGAATTGGCTTGCTCCACTTTGAACGTGGCAGCTGCATTCAATTTTGACGGCTCCCTTTGTTTTTGACAGACGCGCATGTGCCGTCCAGTTTTCACGTCACGTGCAGTACGAGTAAGCATCAGTAGCTGTACACGTGCGGTCTGTGTCAAATGATCTCATGATCTTGAGATGCAAAGTCGAGTCCTCGTCCCAAGCGAACCACAAACTC